CTCTTGGCTCTCCAGGCACAGCTGGATGCTACCCAGGCCTGGTGTGTGAACATGTATCACAGCTCTTGCATCCCTCCACAGCTGGGTCATGCTGTTCCAGGTGTCCCTCCCGCTGCTGGGGGCGGGGGGTGGGGTGGGTCACAGTTTAACACTCGTAGTGTAGTGCACCAGTACTCCTCTGTGTGACACCAATTCATTAAAACCACCAGAATACATGCTGGTTTGACGTCGGGCTGGCTTGTGACTACTCCATGCCTGGGGGTTCAGGTTGCAACAAGTTCAGGCCGTGACACCTGCAGTCATCATCCATGGGATGTGGTTGCCTGCAGCTGGCCCAGTGCTGGAGTGCTGGAACTGTCATGGGAGCAACGTGGCAGAAAGGTCAGTCTGGCCAGTGCAGGGGGGGTTACGGGAGGGAGCTGGTACCAGAGGATGCACTGGGCCACCTAGGGCCAAAGCCATTTCCCTGCACCCCCGGTGTGTTGCCTGTATGCACTGGGGTGGGGGGTTACAGGGTTGGGTTTGCTCTGCAAATGGCACGCTGAGTTCCTGTGCTGGAAAGCCCACAGGCAGCTCCCCTTTCCCCCATCCCCAGTAGGGAAGCAGAGCTTCGGCTGCAACTGGACCAGAGGCACAAACCCACTGGGCTGCAGGTGAGCCGCTCACCCAGAGCTGGCCAAGCAGCCACAAAGACTTGCCCAGTCCCACCTGTGAGTCCATCTCTCACGCACAACCCTACTGCAGCCCTGCCACGCGCCCAGCTGTCCTGTCCCAAAAACTGCCAGGTAAAACGGGTGAAGCAGAAGTGATCAGCAGTCAATGCCTTTATTAAAACTACACCACTTTTAGATAAACATTTCAGTTTAAGTTTCCAAGCGTTATCACTGGCCTAACTAACGGGAATGGTGGTGTTGGGATCACCAACACCAGCGGTTCATGGGCTGGACCCTCAGCTCCGTTGTGCGGGAGGAAGGCAGCCAGCCAGCCTCCGGCTCGGGCTGCGCTTTGCCCCAAGCCAGCTGCTGGCAGCAGCATTAGCTGGAACGTGCACATCCCTCTCCAGAGCCAAGTTAAGTGTTTCTCTTCTGTCAGTGCAATAAATACAAGTGCGTCAAACATAATTTAAGTGGCACAGTTAGCTTACGAGTATCATGGGTGAGAAACCTCAGGGACAACCACGCTACGGCAGAAGAATCTCGGTACAAGAACAAGCTACTGTCTGCTTTGCAACTAGTATGAGCCTGCAGATATAACTTGGATGCATGCTGAGCAGTTTATACTACGCTGTACACCCCTGAACGGACCCTTCAGGCAGCACAATTCACTCTGAGCACTACTGACTAAACCTACAGCACCCAGTATTGTCTGTATAGACTGATGGGGTGCAAAGTCCCTGGCCAGACACCAGAGTCAGCATTTGACCCTCTCCCATCTCAGTGCAGAGCTTGTCGGTGGCATAAAACAGTCCCCGTGGTAGCCCCAAGCAGGGCATGGACATCCCCAGAACCTCTCCCCATGGGAAAGGCTCATTTCCACTTCTGCCTCCTGGACAACGTGCTCCAACCATGGCTGTGCGATGGGCTGAGAAGCGTTACTGGAAGTGTCTGGGATGCCCAAAGCACAGAAGGGAGGTGGAGGGCAAGATGGGGAAGGACACCCCAAACTTATTTTTGCATCAAGAACCGCATACCCCTGCCTGCTTTTAACTACAGAGGAACAGTGTAGCCACCAGGAAGAGGAAAACCTGACTTAAGGAGTTAAAAGGCAGTTGAGGAAAAAATAAAAACCTGCCCTTCCCACCCAAAGGAAGCACATGTCTGGGTGTGTAGAGGGAGAATGGAAGACATGTTGTTCATGGAAGGGCGACATCAAGCAAAAAAGTAATCTCATGCTTTCCAGCTTAAACTCCCAAGTTTGCAATTTATCTACATAACTTCAGTCCTAAGAGGGAGTGCGTGTGACGAAGGGGAGGAGCTCCACAGAGGATGGCAGGGATGGAAGCAGAAATTATGTTCAGAAGGAAAAGGGTACAGAAAAGATAAAAGGGCACTAACCTTTTCCATTAAATAGATGTTTGAAAAGAAATAACAAAAAAAAAAAATCTTTCATTTTATTTCCAAATGTGTGCAATTAGCCCAACACTTGCAACATGTTGTGACTGAAGAGCTAAATAAAAATCTCTCACCACCTGAATCTTCCGTGTGTTTGTAATTACGGCCACTTAGCGAAAAGGAAAAGCAAAACATGTATTTCCTAGAAAAAGAACACCTCAAACTCAAGTGAGACAACCGTGGTATGGAGACACAGCAAAAGCCATTCGCCTACAAATGAGTCTCTATGTGATCCAAAACCAGCAGCAGTGTTTAAAAGTGAAACACCCTTGGTCATGACACACGTGTCCTAGGAATGTCTGTCCTCAGCGGTACCACGCTGGATTGGCCAGGCTTTGTTGTGCTTACATTTGTCACGGTTTGGTACTGGCTTCTGGGCTGTTATGACCCCTCTGTCCAGGTCAACAAAAAGAAGCCAACAACTTCTTTCTTCTACCATCACAGACGCTGATGCCGGGAGCTGGAGTTGCCAAGGGTAGACATCAGGACCAGAGTGGGAATCCCTGACCTCCTCTAGTGCCAGGGATGGAAGAATGGCAGACTGACCCACAGGGAGCAGGTAGGAAAAGGAGAGGGAGGAAGGAAAGAGGAAAAAAAATCTCTGTGCTGCCAAGCAGCCAGTCTTCAGTGATGATGCTCATGTTCAGATTTTCCCAGGAATTCCCTAGGAAAGGAAACAGCACGGCAGTGACACTCTGCTGCACACTAGTCTTCCCATTCCCCTGGCAAATACGAGGGCTCGAGCATTCACAGCTACAGGAAACAGCACTGAGCTTTGCTCTCACCCCTCAGTGGTTCCCACTGCCGACAACTCTTCCAGAGCATCCAGCTCACAGCAGAGATGAGCAGGAGAGGAGAAGTACTCCCAGCTTTCTCTGGCTCCCCTTCCCAAAACTTGCTTTGCACGGAGATGCAGAGCTTTGACTTTGTGCTAAGCCAGCCTCAGTATCTCACGCGCTCTAAAGACCAAAGGGTCTCCCAAAAGAGCTGCCCAACACAGGGGCCTGTTACACATCTCTCTTGCTCCTGGGTGCATGTCACAGTGTGCCCCAAAGCCCCAGGCCACCCCCTAAGCCAGAGGAAACCCTGGGTTGTTACCGCAGTATTCGAGGTAGCTCTGGACTCCTGTAGATGTACTTGTGCCGGTAGCCGAGGTCTGTGTGGAACGGAACAAACTGCACCTTGTAGTCTCGGAAACTCCGTGACGTCGCAGCGATGTTGTAAAGCTGAGTCCAAGGGGAGGCAGGTGAGGGACATGTGTCACTCCAAACCAGCTACCCCTACCAAACCAGCTCCCCTCTCAGGTGTGGGTTATAGGCCCTGGCTTGACCAACTTTGCTAACTCTAGCTCCGCTTCACTATTGATTTGCCACCTCCGACACCACAGAATTTGGAGTCCCTTTGGGCTACGCACTTCTACAGACACCTCCCTGTTGCTGACTTTTTGCCTGGCTGGGATGTCATTCCAGTCACACCAGTTCCTCCCACCAGATCAGTTTGCACAGCCACATGTGTACCTTCTTTCCCAGATGAAATGGCACCACTGGGTCATCTTCAGCATGAAGGATGAGCAGGGAACAGGAAATGTACTTCACGCTGTAAAAGAGACGACAATGTCACAACTCTAACATTGCTCTCTAACACCAACACGCTTGGATTTTCAAGGAAAGTGCGATGACAAACATGTCCAGTGGGTTATTAACTGCAGTTCAGATCTTGAAGACACTATTATCTGGGCACCATTCATTTGATCTATAGAAAATTTACTACTGAAAGGGCATCCTTGTGAAAACTATCTTGCTGCTTAGACCAGAGAGAAGTGGCTCACCCCACTGCAAAGCATCATCCCCCAAGGTCTGGTTTGGTGTCAGTACTGGAAACCAAACTCACAAATGAGCTCAGGCTCTTGAATGAAAGGCTCAGTGAAAAGAGACAACGTTATTACAGGCAGGGTGGCCCATGCAAATGCACACCAGAGAAATCTTCCCACACCTTCAGTGTCCCAATGCTACTGTTTAACACGTACACTCAAAAAGCATATATTGTCCTTATTAAGAATGATTAAAAAAGAAAGAGCTCCACAGTGCAAAGCTGTGTTGCACTCAGGGCTGCGAAAGTAACCGAACTCCCTTCAGCGAGTATAATGCTTCAACAGGGAAAAAAAAAAAATACAAAAGCAAGAGAGTACAGCCTGTCGTCTGTCCTCCTTGATGCTTGCCATGGCTCACTGCAGCCACAGCTGAAACTCCAGCAAAGAGGGAACTCACTTCTCATCGTTTGCAAATTTAATTCCACTTGTCGTGATGGGGTCAAGGAAGAACCAGTCAAACCCAGGGAAGTATCTGTAGATCTGAGAGGAAAAATTTGCATTAGTGGCAGGCACCAGCAGGACAGTTATACAAACAACAGTAACGGGGCAGGCCACCGCCATCCCAGGAAGATCCCTTGGCTGCTGGCTGTGCTTTCTGCAGTGAGATGGTCCATGTTTCCACCAGCATTATTTTTCCTCTCCTGTTTCAGGCTCATCTTATCAGCCTGCTCAGGAGCAGGCTCTCTGGGTGCTTGTATGGTCAAAGTCTCTGGATATCAGGCTGCTGCTGGCAACAATCTTCCTGGAAGAGAGCTTTATCCCAGGGAATCTCACCAGCCCAGCAGCATCCAACACCCGGGTGTTCAGAGCCAACTCGCAGCTGTGCCAAACGGAAGAGATGGCCACATCAGCATGAACTCACCAGGGAATCCATGCAAGTGCAAAGGGACCACGGGGACAGGGTAGCAACCAAGAAAATCCCAGCTTTGCCATTGCTTTGCTCACAGCCCACAAAATAGCCTCCTGCAACAGAGAAGCTACAGCACAAGAAGAACGGGCTGCCCGTTACCGAGAGCAGAGTCTGTCTTCCCCTCCCTACATTTATTGCCTTTTCTGATCCCAGGTTGTTTTTTTTCTTTAAGCAGACTCCACACATGGCTCTGGTATTGCTTATCGTACCAGTGCTCCCAGGAGCTGCCTTAAGTACAGGTCTTTACCCGTAACGCTTATAAATATCGCTGCTGCCCCACAAGTCATGCAGTTAGCTCAGCTACACCACTTCTGAAGGTTAATTTCTAAGCGTACAATTACATGCCACTAGCGTGAGAGCCACTGTGTACTTGCCACAGAAAAGGGGTGACTTCGCGCCTCCTCCCGTATGTTGGTGAATGGAGATTCCAGTATCAGGGCATCCGGGGGCGTTTCTGAAAAGCCGAAAGCAACGTGCTGAAGTGCAGGGGTACAGACAGCCAGCAGGGTCAGGGTCTGCCTTACAAAAGCAGCTGCCACCATGGCACACTAAGGACAGCCTCATCACAACCGCAAACATACACGGAGATCTGGGACGGCAGCAGGACCCAGGCTGGGTGGGAAGAGCACCCATCTGTCAGACTTACCTCTCTCACAAAGGCGTCTCACTAAATTTGTTGCAACCCTGGAAAGAAGAAAAATGAGCATTTAAATCTGGCGCAGGGCCTCTGCAAAGCACCAGGCTCTAGGGGTAGTAGGTAGCAGAGGTACAACTCAACTGCCGTTAACGTCGAGCCCTCACGCCCTCTGAGGTCTGGGCGGCCAGTGACCTGGGTTCCCACGGGTCTCCCATACCCAACTGGTGTCTCAAATAGCATCAGGTGCCCACATTTAGGTAAGTGAACAAGTCTAAGGAAGCCACACACCGTGTAGCCAACTTGGAAGGATCTCCTTTAAGGTGGGTCTCAGGCTCTCAGCGTTATCTGCAGCTGGGTGACGCAGCCTCTTACCCCCAGACCATGAGGGCTGAGCGAGAAAGAGGGGAATGCAGGGGTACGGGCAGAAGGGTGCTGTGTTCCAGGCAGCTGGAGCGCAGGGTCCCAGGGTGACACTGCAAGGAGTTCCCATAGCTGGGTCAGAAAGCAGCATGGTCTCCTCCATGCATCTCCCTAATGGGACAGGGATATTTCCAAAGTTGCTGAGTCCTCCAAGCACAGCATATTTCAAAAAACCTCAAACTCCAGACTGGCTACGGTCACCAGGGAACTCGGCTGGGGAGCACCGCCTCGGCTCACTCGGATTGAAGTGCATTGGGAAATGTCACGAGCATGCTCTGACCCAGAAAGGGATCCTGAACACAGCAAAAATTTAAAGGAAGAGCCAAAGGAAAAGTCTTTGCACTCTCTCAAACAAAGCATGATGTTTAATCTCACAGCAATGAAGAGGCACTATCCCGAAATACCTCCCTGTACCGGCAACACATTTGCTGGCCAGCAAGGCAAGCTGTTGTGGTCTCAAAACAGTTTAATCTGCCCAAAGCTCAACTTCACAGTAAGTCTTGTGTTCGCCCTCTGCTCTTCTGCAAACCAAGGAGGTAAGAGCACATGCTGCCTGCTAAAACCAGACAGCAATGGAAAGGGAGGAAGCAGGAAAGGAAAGTTAAAAACATGAAGGCAAAGGCACTTGACGCTTTGAACTTCCTTGTGCCAGGCACGACCATATAAATGGCACAGATGGTCAGCAGTGTAGTCACGCAGGCATCTACACAAGTACCGATTACACGCGGCGTGTTTGCCAGGGCAGGAGGAAAATGTTTTTTGAGGGCAAGTCACATGCACGTGCAGCTGGTCTGAGTATCAGGGGAGCCCGATGTTCTGCTCTGAAGGACGCATCGACATAGGTGCGCCACAGGGAGAGATCAGTGCAGTCCCACTTTCTCTCCCCTTGGTCAATCTGCATTATATTATTCTAAACGAGCGTCCTTTTTCCAGCGTAACCCTCTGAGCAATGAAGGTTCGAGATCAATTACTGCAGAGTCATTCACTGTAGCCCTTCTCACTCTGTAAAGTGCAAAGGGGAAGCTACTCTGCAGCAATTATGCCACAGACTCCAAAACAAGCCAGCCTGGGGATTACAGCAAACAGCACCTTCATACAAGGGCAGTGTTTGATGTTTAAGTCCCATTGAGATTTGATGCTTACCCTGTACCCAAGGAGTGTCCCCATATATAGACAGCGTTGTCTCCGCTTCTTGCTTTTATCCAGTCGAAGACATGAAGGGCATCGTAGGTCATTCCCATCTCTGATGGGCTGCCTATTGAATCGCCCCAGCCTGAAACACAAACAGTCCTTCTGAGAACCACACAAACTGATCAGCAAAGCCAGCCAGCTCTTCCCACACAGCCCATCTGCGACTGCACAGGGACCTGGGACACGGACAGTTTATTTCACTGCGCACCTCTACAATTTGGCGCTGAAAGCTCCTATCGATCCGCAGTCATTTAAACAAGGTAACTGCTGGCTGCCAAGGAGTTTTTGTGGATTTACTCAACAACAAAACCAAGAGCTGGATCTCAAACACTGCCACATTGTGTTCTTGCACCTACCTGTCTGCAACAGCTCAGCTCCCAAACCTTAGCTGCTTTTGTATGCACGTAACCAATTCATAAGTGGAGTCTCGGTGTAAGAATTGAATGCTTAGGGTCAAAACCCAAGCACGTTTCACAAAGCTGTTGCCACATCAGTTTGTCCATGCTGTTCGATCAATGCCCTCAAGCAATTTTCCACCCTCCTGATTATTCTGGCTCTATCGCTATTGCAGCACGTCTACACATCTTATGCTAAGCAGCAAGCATCCCACATCCCTTCTGATACCTAATAAGCAGCCAGAGAAGCAGCTGCCAGCAGGACTGAAAATCAGGGCAAGCTCCTACAAATAAACCTCTCCCAGATGTCTTCTTGATAAAAATGCAGCGGATTAATTTCTTTCCCATATCTCTAGTGGCATTATGCTGCAGCCATGGCTTAAACACTAAGAAGGGAAAAAAAAAAAAAGAGCAGCAGATGCTTGACTGCTGGTGGCACAGAGTTGCAAAATGGTCACAGCTTCTGCCGAGGACGTCACCAAATCATTTACTCTATGTCTTATCTCACCTATGACCTTTTAAAAAAGAAGTGCAAGTATAGTTCCCTGAGTGACCTCAGGAAAGTCAATTAGGTCATATCCAAAAGACTACATCTAGGCAAGCTTACTAGTTTCCACATGTGCACCCCGAGGATGCTGTAACTGGATGCTGTGACCATGGACGTGCCTGGCTCACCCTTCTGCTCCTTAGCTCCCAAATCAACGAGCCCTGTGCCCAAGGACAGGTAGGAGCCAGAGTCCACCAAGCTGGACATCGGGAAGCAGTGCTACACAGGAAAACACTGGAAAGAAATTTCTGGAATTTCTTTGGATACCCATGAGGGGAAAAAAAGCAGTAATAACTACATCTAATTAGCTGGCAGCAAGGGTTTATAGAACAACAGCTCCCCTGAGATCAAAAAAAAAAAAGCGCAACTTCTTTGTTGCTTCTACAGAAAGAGATATCTAAAAGTGTTTCACAATAAAAGAAGCCCACATACCTCGATAATCAAACGTGACCACGTGGTACCCGAGGGAGCTGAGAACCTGGAGGGCAGAGAAACATGCAGAAACCCATCACAGAGACTTGCACAGCAGCCGAGCTCTTGCCTCAGGCCAAGGTGCAGGGATCTAATTTAAAACATTATCACCCTGACACGGTAAAGACACAATTTCCAGCTTTTCAGTGTAGCAGGCACAGAGCTTTTCCAACACTAATCATCTCAGCCCGCTGGTTTTACTCTGTTTGTTTCCTGGACCTTGTATCAGGCTATCTTAGATATTGATTTTCCCTTTCAACAGCTTTGCCCTTAAGATCTGCAAATATCGTACAACTGTTTCCCCTACAGACACTTGCAGGTTTTCCAGTGAAACAGTACAACTGCTTCATTTATATTATTCAAATTGGCATAAAACGTTAGTATAACATATAGGAGCCTGCTTCGGGTTTCAGAAGGCTTAAATGTATACATCCAAAATGTGCAATTGCTCTATCACAAAGATTTATGTTACAGCCAATGGTAATCCTAACAATATCTGTTAAAAGCAAGTAAAAATACCCAATGTTGGATTAACTTGCTCGGAAAAAGGGCCTTGGTAAAAACAATGCTAGCATTCCAAGCTACCATTGCTCGGTATGAACCTAACAGCTCCGTGGTAGGTAAAAATCAACAAAAAGTCAAAAAAATATTAAAATGTTGTTGCTCTCATGGTCTATGTATGATACATGATTAAAAAAAGCAATCTTAGTATTACACTATCCTGTAAACCTTCTAATGGACAAAAGGAAACCATCTCATATGTAAAACCAATACTTTATTTCTAGTGTAACTGAAATCTTAACAGCCTGAACAATTACTGTTCTTATTTCAGATCTTATTAGTACTGAAAAAAGAGAAAAAGAGGACAATGTAGAAAAGAGGGGTGTTCAGGTAAGTTGGGAACTCAACTCCTTTGCTGGGAGGACTACGATGGTGGTAGTTTCTCCCATTTTCCTCTAGGATCCATCTGGGACTAATATTCCTACATTTCGGACATGCACTGGATGTTTCTTTCTCTTCACTGGTCTGTGATTCCACGTTACATCCCAAATTACTTTTTGGGGCGTGTTCAATATACATCGGACACGTTCTCCGTTCTCTCTAAACCCAGTTTCGCCTAGCTCCCAGACCTGCATCCGTGCAGGCAGCGCACAGCCCAGGGCTCTCTGGGGTCAGCCTGTGCCCCGTTCCATGCACGCTCCTACTCGCGCTCCTCTGCAATCCCCTGCGTCCCCATCTCCGAGGTCTCTGCTGTTGTACCAGGTCTGTACTCTTCTACACTCTACCGCCACGCCGGGTGTCACCAGCGTTTCATTTGTCACGGAGTAACCGTTATCTGTAACTTGTACCTGAAAATACTACAGCGATGTTTTCCCCTATAACACTATCGTTATGAGAATTGTTGCTGTTTGTATTACAGTTATGGCTACGTCAGGTAATTATACAAAGCTCAGCAAAAGTAAAAGCAGCTAGCCAGTGACCATCTGGTTGTTAGACAATTGCTTTTATGGCTAAACAAGCTCAAAACAGAGTTCCAGGGAGCTCCAAAACAAGGTCAGAAGCAGCCTTACAAGCCTTAGCTGTGTTACGAGCAGTGGCAATACTGTATGCACTGGGTTATCAGGCTGCAACTTCCCTTTTTGACAGTCCACCAACTGCAGGCTATCACTCACTAGTCCAGCAAGGGTATTGCAAGCCCTCCCGTGGCTCAAGGCTTCTCACCAGGACCAAACAATGAATTTTTTCGGAGGCGTTTACCCTTTCAGCTTGCCTCATGATAGCTTGCAGAGGTCCAAAAGCAGTGCGTAGCTCTTCATTGTAATGTGATCTCATTACTCGGTTGCCAAGTGTTTGATTTTATAGCCAAAGCAGCTTGCACAAGGAATAAAATTGCTATTAAGACAACCACTACAGGATACAAAGCCAAGTTCAAAACTTCTATAGGAGGGACTGCAGGCAGGAGCAGAGCTCGGTGGTTTGGACCGCACAACACTGTGGCAGATGAGATATCTGCTTGGTGTGCAACATCGGTTACCTTCAGGGCTCGTTGTACCACAAGCTGGACTTTCAGCGTTAACAGTTGGGTTAGCGTTCGTTGCAATTTTTTTAAATAACACACCTAGTGGTACTGGAACTATCGCAGCAGACAACTGGAATGATACCTGTAAGGCGAGCGTTACTTCTAAAGGAAGAGTACAATTTTAACCTTAACAAGTTATGTATACAGATATTGGGTAGAGTTATAAACAGACAATTTACAACCATTTAGGGGCACACAGTGTGCATACAAGTACAAGTGGAGCTTACAGAGAAAACTGACACCTGACTGGAAATGGAGAGAGCATGTCAATTGTCCCACTAGGATCTCAATGGTCGCCTGAAGATGGAAAGCCAGTAACTTCACGTCTGTATCGCACAGTTTGCCCTGACGCTTGCTGGCACCTCATCAAGACTAACACGTTACATCATGCTCACCCTTACTGCACTTGGTCATGTTCTTTCTTGGCACTAGCCGTGGGATTATGCTACTCCACTACCCCTCTTTTAATGCCATTTTCCCCGCTAACAGTTATTTGGAATTTATATTAGCAGATGCAACTGCAACAGCTTCAAAGTCACTCAAAGCTCCGGTGCTTTTTGCTATTCAGGTCTCTTCAAGCTATTTCTCTTTCTCTTTTTTTGGCTCTAAATCCTTCAAAGGGGTTCCCTTGGAGGTGACAAGGTCTGTACTGCATGCACTTCTAGGCTTTACAGCAGAGGTATTAAATATGCAGTTGTTCCACTCTGGGATCTGCATTCACAAGTTACTGTTTCTTCAACATCCTCTTGCAAATAACTATGCCAATATCAGAGAGAGATGTGGTTACGTCTATATAACATCGCCGTACAGAATACCACTGCAACCTATATAACAACAGCAGACTAATCAGGTAAAATATTAATTCATGAATTAGGTGCTGCAGGACAGCTGTTTCCATCAGAATCACTATCTACCATTTTTCATATGTTCATTTACATATTGGATCCACTGACTGGATGTGCAGAACAAAGTTCCTTCTGGCAAAGTTTGGTTTTCAGCTTTACAATGTGATTTTACTGCTAAGATACCACATACAAGCTAGCCTTTTCTGGGCCATTAAAAATTATTTAACCTGTTGACAATTTATCTGTCTTCTATGCATGCATTGGCTGCATCTCTTCTCAATTGAAAATAGATGCACTTTTATTTTAATTAGCAGCTGCTACATTTAAAAACAGATTTTTACCATCCTCTGTTTCTTCTTTAAAAACACGCTGAGTTTAACACATCCATTGCAATCATGCACACAGGACTAACGCTTCATTTTCAAAGTATCCCAGTTCCACCAGAGACTTTATTACTCAACTATTCCTTCAACTTCTATCTGCTTAATTACTGATAAACACTTAACTGATAATGTTCTCAATTCAAACTTTTTTTTTTTCTTTTTGATCTCCATCCTAGATTTCTTTTGCTTATACTCACGTATACTTTGTACCTGTGCTGTTAGGGCTGGGACTCACATCATTCTGGGAGCTCAGCCCCTGCCGCAGCAGAGCATCACTGTTCACCCCGAGTCACTCTTCCTGTGGTCGCTCTGCCTTCTTCCACCTGAATATTCACCTTATCCCTCTCTGTCTTCCTGCAAATAGCCCTTCAGCACCTGGTTCTCCCCCTGTAGGGTCATTTTATGTTAGCAATGAACTGGAGGGTATTTTGAGAATGTAAAAAGATGTGGGAAAAATGCAGAGAGTTATACAAAGTAGCAAGCTTGTGGAACAAGAGATGGATACTTGAGGAACAAGAGATGGATACTTGTGGAACAGCAGATGGATACTAGGGGAACCGGAGATAGATAAAATTAAGAAATAAAATCATAGTAACAAGGCAAGACAAAGAGCTTGTATGCTAGACAAAGAGCTTGTGTCTAATTTACGTAGAAGTTGCACACAGCATAAGCACCTATCTGAATCTTTTCTAAAAAGCATGACAGTCGTGTGAACAGCACTTGTAACCAATCAGAGCTTGAGCAAGAGAGTGTACAGAAGTAGAAAACATAATATAAAGTGTAGCCTTCTGATTAATAAATCACTTCTCTGATCATCATATTGGTGTGCTGAGTCGTCCGTGCCTCACATGAAAGGAGAAGCCCACATCCCCCTGCATTTACCTTGTCACACCATCGGTCTGACCTGCACCACCCACCACCTGCACCTCATACCTGTTGAAGCCCACCACAGAGCAGCCTCCAGCCTTCCTTAACACCAGTCTGAGTCTGAACCCCCAAGCACAGCTGTACTCCCAAATCCTGCCACTCAGCATAGCCAAAAGCAGCAAGGAAACATCTGAGACGGTGGCCATGCCTGGAAAGAGGGTGG